GGGGGGGGAATTTAACAATGTATGCACATTAACATCTTCTGCCCAAAAAAACACAATGGGCCATATAAATATTATTTGACAGACAACGACAGAACCAAAAATAAAATGGTGTTCCTTAACTGGATGAATATAACCATGCAGCACAGTAAAGGGATAGGCGTGCAGGTCTGGCCCCACCTGGCCCGAGATGCGCTCCTCTGGCAGCACCTCTGGCTTTATCTTTAGCAGCTTCACTGCTATGGGCTTGCCAGTGCGCCTGTCAGAGGATACCTCAAACTCTACATCATCTGAGGAGAGAGAAGCAGCAGAACAGCAAACACTTAGCACACTTTTAATAATAGACAACTTTAAGAGTGGAAATCAAGATTTTCATTTTAGTGGATGTCTGTTATTATATAATAAGGTATCACAATAGTTATTGAGCGGATAGTCCTATGATAAAAGTCCTGCCATTTTCACTGATTCCCAGTATTACAAATTGGATATCAGTGTCCCTATTCATGTCAAAATGCACATTCCCACTGTTGCGCCTTCACATTGAAAGCATTCAATTGTTTAACAAACAAATGTACTTTTATTTCGAGGTAGTCACACAAAAAAATTCAACATTTCTTTGACAAAGCTTGACACCGGAGACTATTGTTTGTTAAATAGGCATCTACAAAAACAAGACAGCAATCACTTATGGGATTTTATCATACATACATACATAGATCTGAGAACAGTAGTATCAAACGTCAACTGCGGTTACCACCAGTTAATAGGGTGTCCCCACATAAACCAGGACTGAAATCTTAATTGATTTTTAAAGCTTCTTTTCAACAAGTTAAGTATGTATAAATGGTAGAAAAATCCAAGGCCTCTCACCTCCTATTTTGAGCTCCTGCAAGTTGCCATTGTACTGGGAGCAGTGGAAGAAGAGACGAGCCTGGCGTTCAGAGCACTGGATGAACCCATAAGAGGTCAGGAGCTTCTCAACCACACCAGTCTCTCTAATGCCAGGCCCTGTTCCGTTAGCGTACGCAGTATGTCCATTGTTATGGAGCATGCCTGGGTCAAAACTCATCTGGGGAAGAGGAGAAGCAAGTGTTAAAATGTATTCAATAGTGAAGCTTAACAAAAAAACTAAAGTATGTTGCAGTTTAATGCAATGGTTGATGCCAACCTCAAATACCAAACAACAAATGCACTTTAAAAACATGCAGGTACCACAAACTTTAGGAGAAAGGAGGAAGGGTGGAAAAAGCAACATTTAAGCTAAATTATATTCTTCTGGGAGCTTTCTGGCCAACAATGGAGATGTAAATAATGCCAAAGTGGACTTTTAGGATAAAACGTCCCATTGAACGAAATAAAATAAATAACACTAACCACACTCTACGGCTCTTCCTAGTTTCTTACAAGTGTTATGCACTTAAAGTTAAAAAGATTCCTGAATTTGACAAGCGATTTGAGTCCCAAACCATGTTAGCACTGACAAAACGTTCATGCAGATCTGGTTAAACACTAAAGAACTGTTCTTCCTCTACTAACCAACTAGTGTATCGATAAAACTCACTCGTCAAAATCTGTCACTACATACTGGTTAGACTCACGCACCTACAAACCATGCGGTTATCAAAACATCACGACAAAACAGCTGACCACAGGGATGTTAAAAGTCAGCATGGGCAACTCCAGAGCATGTCCCCTTACTGATCTCTGATACAGGGGGGTCCGCTTGTGTTTTTTACTTCCAGGATGGGGGTGGCATGAGAGGGAGGAGCAGCGGGGTATAGTCATGGGAGCGGTAGAGGTAGATGGGGCAGAGCCAGTGTTGTGAGCCACTGGAGGCTCAGAGGAGCCTCTTTCCATTTCTGACACTGGGGGTAGGACTTGCATATGCTGTTGGGAGGAGGCAACAGCTTTGAAAAAGGAGCATAGTCATAGCCTTTATAGCATTTTCTTTCAAATTAACCGTTTCCAGACATCATATGTAGTTTGGTCATTACCCAAAAAACAGTTATCCAGCCAAATATTATAAAATACAGTATCTTTGGAACTGCCGTCATCGTGAACAAGAACCAGTGTTTGACCCTGACTATTTTAGGGGCCCAATATACATTACTAACCCTTCGCACCATATCAAATGTTCTTGTATTTAAAAAGAGTTCTCCAATGCAATTTTTTATTTAATTCAGCTCATCACTAATCCTAACGTCACACTGACGTAACAATGGAACTGCTACCATGACAATCTCACATTACAACAAAACTTAACCAACCTCTGCGCAGAAAGGTTAAAGTGAAGTGGTTTGATTATCGCAAATGTTACTCAAGGTCGAGGGAGTTAAAACTACTGAAGATGGAGATTGGAATGCAAATGACAGGTCAAAGGAGTGATGCAGCTACAGTGGACAGAGACGGTGATGGGTTATGGGGAGGGGGTCCCAGAGAAGCCTCTTCTGTTAGAGCCCTGTACTGCACTTCAACAAAGCGCCAACAGAAGATATAACCTAGAATGGAGGCATTTTACCCTTAAATGGTCTTTAATGCGGAACATTTAAGAGTACAAAGGCATGCATGATTTGGTTGCCTGTGCAGTAAAAAACAATTTGGTCTCTGAGATAGCGAGGACTTAAGTTTAAAGATGATGGGCAAGTACTTCAAATATTAACCATATCATTTATTTAACTATATAGCAGGACCAACAGTTATGAAGTTGATCAGAACTCGCCAGAATTTGAATGAAGTTACGAACTGAGAAAATATTTTACTGGATTGCGAAGTAAAAATGGGTGGGAAAAAAAAAAAAAAACGCCTCTTAAGGAGTTTATTAAAAAAGCAGAACACCCCTCACCCTGCAACAATAAAACTAAGTATAGGCTAGTCTCGGGAGCCCGAAAAGGATGAAGAAGGTTAGGCCATTCACAGCAGAGAGATGCAGGGCAAGGTGGGTGGATGGGTGTTCGATGGGGGTGGGTCACGTAGAAAAGAGGTGGGAAGGTGGAACTTACGGATCGGCCATACGGCGACAGGCTGAGTCCGACAGGGGATGTGCTGCTCAGGTCAGCGCTAACAAATGCGGTGGGTGGCGACGCAGGCAAGGTAAACTCAACAAAGCCTTTCCAGGGGCTGCCCATATTTTCCCATAAACTCGGACCAAACTTGCTCAAGCACTTGCTGAACTTGTATTACTTGTGTGGAGGTTTTTTTTTTTGCTTGACTTCTAAAGTTCTATTTTATATGACCACCCAATGATACACCGCTGGATGTCTGCAGGGGTGAAGAGAGGAACAAACATAACGGGTAAGGCAGATAGGTCAGCCAGTGTGCCACAAGACAAAAAAGACAAATAGTTGCGGAGTTAGGAAGTTGAAAAGGCAAAAATCAGAGAGGATATGGCTTTTAAAACCACAGAATAAGGAAAAGGGTGGGCTGGGTGTGGGAAGGCATTTAAGTCATTCTCAATCTAAATTCAATAACCAGCTTAACTGTTTGGAGGAAGTGTAGCTTCAGTTCAGCTGGCTTGTGTTTGGAGAAGTTATCTTTAGCAAGTGACAATGTAGAGGTCACTGGCATGATCAACATTCTAATCTATCACTTATCATACTCATTCCACATGAGTGGAGTCATGTGCAAAGAGGAATTCATATACAAGGTTGATTTCAAAACAAGCATTGAAGCAGCTGCTTTCGTTTCTATATCTGTGAGATTATTAGCTGATGTTGCTATTTAAAAATTGAGAGTCTTCAAATTGTAATTGATGACAAATAGTTTATAAATTGTGAAAATATTAGCAGACATGTCGGTTTGCTTGAACAACATCCAACTTTGACAAAGAGGACAAATGCACTCCTTATGATCAGTGACAAAAAATAAATAACAACCACAGGATTGCTGCATGAAATCAGCGCAGCTGGTCAAACTGAATCACAGTGATACAGATGTACAGACATAAATGGAGTAGTATGTACAACAAATGTGTACAAATAGGGAATTTACCAATGTTATTTACTGAATCATACCCAAATTACGTCAGATTTGTTATCTGGATCGTTAAACCCGATAAAGGGAAATATATTCAGCATATTGGAGAGGGGGATCATTCAAAACATGAGAAATGAAATCAAAAGTTAATTAATTTAAAAGTACAATTCTCGTTAACATGACAGGCCTCATGTTATGAAGGGAATAATAACTGACACCCACCTTTATTCGTTGCGTATACTCTTGTTATTCTCAGGATCTCAGTGATGTTGCCGTTTCTGCAGATCTCTTCACGCACACAGTTGAACACACACACGCACACACACTTGTTACAGGTTTCTGGCACAAGTTCTAGATGGTTGCATAAAGCAAAAAAGAGGGGCAGAAATCTAGCAGAAAAAAGGCAAACGCAGGTGCATAAACACTGCTGTAAAAAAAGGAAATGTACAATGAAAACAGTAGAGTCGAGAAAAGGAAAAGAGGCGGGTAACTATGGGGGGGAAATAAAACTAGCAGGTAGCAGCCCACTCCACACCCCGGTGGTGAGTCGGTGATGTGGTGAGGATGAGGAGGGCTAGGAGCAGCGTTGGGACATGTGCTTTGTCAAAGCTGTTGAGTAGGCACAAACTTCTGGTTTCAGATCAGTTAGTCTTCTCAGAATATGCTGGGGCATAGGTTTGCTTCTCTGTTGCGTTTCAATTGGGCTGATGGGCGTCTTCTTTGGTCGTTTCAGGATTTGGTTACTTCTTGCGTTTTAAACCCTTGAAGTGATCGGTTGGTTGGTTTTCTATGCGTCTTCAGTGTTGCAACTTTGCTTTTGTTTTGGGAGTTTTATCTTCAGTTTCTTTGTTATGATCTGAACTTGAAGCAGTTGCGGATGGTACAAAAATTCAGTTCCGTTTCACTTCATACTGTTGGAGATAAAAAAAAATGTGGTTAGCTGGACAGAACGGATTAATTTAGGCATCAACATAACAAAAACATCAAGAGTGACCGAACCAAATGCCTTAGTTCTCCAAGTGTCTGCAATGACACAAATACATTGAATTATTTTACTGTAAACTGATAAGAAAAATAAAGTGGTGCCAGTGGCTTGAAGTTTTTCCTTTTTTTTCAAATCACTATTCCTTGCCACAGAATTACATTTAAAAAAAGGTTATCCTCAGATGCCCGGAAATGCCAGGAAGCTAGTAGCTGTGGGTTAGGGTCAGCAAGCCTTCGTGCATGCCATAATATTTATGGCACCATCTCTGACCAGGGCCCTCTTGTTTTGTACTTCAACTATCAACTGTTGCACACTTATTGTAAATGTTCAGTGTGTCTCTGAGGCCCTACGAGCTAATAGATTAATTACATTCATGTGCATACATTTTAAATTTGAAAATCAGTGACTGATCTCCATCAGTAGGTTAGAGTGTTTGTTGTTGACCTAAATACGCAGCAGCTTTGAAAGCAAGCTGGGTGAGCCAACCCAGGACACATGATATTTATTCTGCTGCGAGTGTGTCGCAATGACTCATCCCACGCACTTCCCGAAACATTCAAATTATAATGTTATTAAAAAAAATCTGATTCGAGCAATAGGGAGATTGTTGTATCTTTGAAATAGCCTCCTGGATATTCATATCTAAATCTAAAATCTGGATTAAGCAACAATGTCACTTTTGTGTTTTGTTTACATATGCAAGGCTCAGATAAATCATATACTCATTGGGACTAAAGCTGTGAATCCTAGTCATATAATAAACAGAGAAGCTAGTTATCACAAAAAGGATGTGTTAAGTGGGGTAAAGGTTTTGAGTGATGAAAAGGGGCAATTCTTCAGGGAAAACCACCTTGAGGAAGATTTTCTGTTATTCCTTCTCAGCTTTTGACGACGCGAAGAGAGAAAAAAACATAACGCCCACTAAACCACCAGCACCAATTGGCCGTTTAAGAACAAAAGTACACTTTAAAAAATCATTAAACAATAAAAGACACGGACCACAGTACGGCCTATTAAAAAGGCAACGGCGCGTCCCTGGTCCCGAACAACAGCCCTGACAGTACCAACCATGTGACTTCCTAGCAATCCGCTAGCCTCTGCAGGAACCACTAACAAGGCCTGATCCAACACGTTGCGGCATGCAACGATGTAGAAAACGTCACAACTAAGCTAGCAGCTAAACACAGCTCAAACTCTAAATCACCTACCAAAACATCGAATATTGGTTTTGTTTCACACATATACTGCTTGTAAATCAAACCAACGCACACAACAGATAAGTATGAATCAGCTTAATGACCTTGTGTGGACAAACAATCACACAGATTAGCATCATGCTAACGCTAAAGTCGTAAACAGCCAGTACCCCCGGGCGTTTCTGACTTTGTTAAATTTTAAATTAATTTACTGCGACATGCTTATTAGGCCACAGGTTAGCTTAAATAGTTAGCAAATTAGGCATTTTAGTTATTGCCTCATATCACAAGTAACGTGGCTTGTAGTATGGTCAAAAGTTAACGGAAAGTAAGCACACAATCAGGTTATTCTTGTACACCAAGAAAATCAAACAAAAGTTCCAAACCCAAAACTGTCTTTTTAATATTTTTAGCTAATTTTTAAGTATTTAAAACGTAGTAGAGGTATACGTGAGGCTTTTAACTAGCACCTGGGTATTGCGTTTAATTTGGTAGCTGTCACTAAAATAGTTATGGACATACATTTTATTAAAAGTCCTATTTTGTGGAACTGGGTAGCACCGCGCGCTGCCCTCCGATAACAAGAAACGTACATTATAATATTAATTTGGTTAGACTGACAGAAGGAGGGTTTGGACTGATGGTTAAGAAAGCGACTGGCGACGGAAAGATCGGACCTTTATTTAGGATATTATAGGTGCCACGAACTGTAATATATTTGAACTCGGGGTGAAATACAAATGTCACCATCAGAGTGTATACTGTACATACACAAATAACATTAAGATAACGTAATCAGAGCTAACGGCACGAGGACGGGACAACAAAGAAGCTATGACAAACGATAAGAGTCACGTCCTCAATTACACCGCGTCTGTCACTAACAGCCATTTGTTTCCCACGCGTGTCGTCTCATTGGTAGCATTACTTATTTTAGAAATACAAAGTTACTTTTGTGTATTGTTAACAATGTTGCTAAGCCATTCACTGTGCTAAAAGGCTAATAGCGGCTACAGTTAGCTAGCATGCTGCTGGTCCTTGTGTGGTGATTTATGGTGAGGAAAAATAAGGCTGCCCCCACCCAGGCCCGAGCTCTGCGTATTACAAAGTGCTTCATACCCTGTTCAATTTTAAAGGCCCGCTGGAAGAGAAAGCTACACATTGTAATGACATAGTTCAAACCCATGTTCGAAAAGGAATATAAAGCTGTATAATTAATAAAACTTACCCCAACAGCTTTCAGCACTGTCACCAGCGCCGCTAGAAGCAGCACGGCACATTACGTAGTGATTACGGAGACAGATACCGCGATATTTCAGAACGTTGGGATGTCCAGAGAGCCTGGAAATAAAAGAGTGGCCACTGCCGCTGAGCGAGGGATGACTAACCATTATTGCTGTCTCGCAATGATCCATCGAGAACTGGGCATATGTCTATGATCATGATGGGAATATTTTCTATGACTTACTATCTTGACTAGAAAGGAGACAGTTACGCGCTGACTTGCTCGAAATACAGTAATTCCCTGTATCCAGACAACTGGACTCGTTATCTCATTTAATCTTCCGACAGTAACTGTTCTTCTCCCGTAGTAGAGTTTCTGAGGCCACACGTTGCATCTTGGGAGTGTGTTCAAGAACAATATCGATTGTAAGAGAAATGTTATTTAAGGACGTTCACCTATTGCTTCGTTCTTTTGATAATATGGAATGAACCTGTGGAGAATTGAAATTCTGACAATACTTCAACTATTTAATATACGTTTGATGGTTGATTTAACGTGTTCATCAACTAATTCTAAATTGTGTTGACATCTCAATAAATAATACAATAAAAACATTTTTACGGTTCTCTTGAGAAACTGTGACTGTTTTAGATGATAGTTTTAAATGCTAAATGTCACAATCTGCATAATATGTAGGATATGCATATATTTGCTATTGTATCATATATTTTTTTATCAATACCATTTTCAATATTATAATGTATCTTTTGTATTAATTTTTTTGTTGTTCTGTGGTATTAGGGTTTTTTTTGTAATGAGATTTAAATCTCAATGTGAATTCCTGAATAAATAAAGTATACTTTATTTTGTTGTTACCAGGATCGTATTTTTGAGAGGCAGGCAAGATAGCAAAAGCATCAACAAAGTCATGGATAAAAAGTGAGGTACCATTCATTATGACACAAGGGCACGTACATAGCAATGGAAAGCTAAAAAACAACCACACATTTAACACATCATGAATGTTTTCACCGTGGACATGTTGGTGAGACAATACATTAGGAATACAATTAATGCTTTTGTAAATGCTCACTTTTGTCTGCAGGCAGTTTTTAAAGTTCATTGGTTTCAATTGAAATATTTTAAAGCCTCAATTTCATACATTTCTACTGATTTTAGTCTGGATTTTTACAAAGTTACCTGGGTATTCATTCAAGATTCAAAGATGTATTGTCATGTCATACACAACTACGGTATAGTTATGCAATGAATGAAAAACTTAGGTCACAGTTTTCCTCAACAGTGCAATTACAAGACATACACTTTTATAAGAATTTATAAAAAATAAAATGCTTCCCCTCCTGTACAGCAGCATTGTTTTTTCACTTTTTATTTTAATCATAACCATGATTTTTCACAGGTTAAATAAATCTGCCAGTTTTAACTGTTTCAAACCTCCATTTAATCTGTCCAGTAGATGGCGGTATCTATCCTGAAGTTGGTTTCCTTTTAATTAAAGCGAAGAAGACGAGGCGGAAGTGACGTTTGGTCCAGTCTCACACGGAAACGGCGCACTTGACAACAACACAGAAAGAGCACTTTTTATTTGTTATACTGTACTTAATCTGTATTCCGACACATATTAACGAAGGCCCGCAATAGCTTGTATACGTTGCTATAACGGCATTGCAGCTGCCGCGGCTGGTTAAGGCTAGATAGCAACCAAAGCTAACACTGCGAAGTACTTCAATCCCTCTTGCAGAGTCGAGTAGCTTGTTTACGTTGCACACAGGAGCTGTCAGTTTCCAGAAATGGCCTGCACTTTGGAGAAAGTGTTGGGGGATGCCCGGACACTTCTCGAGAGGCTGAAAGAGCACGACACGGCCGCTGAGGGGCTGATAGAGCAGTCTGGGGCCTTAAACCAGAGAGTGCAGGGCATGAAAGAGGTGGGAAATGCCATTCCAGACAAGGTAAGGACGATTATTTCCACAATCAGAGTTCATTCAAGTGCTGTACTGCTCAGTGGCAAACACACAGCAGTGGTGCAACATAAACTCCTGATCTCCAACTGTATCACTTACCCATTCATTCTAGAAAACATTAATACAATATAACTAACAGCCCACAATTTCGCAAATGCTTCTTCTGATAATGTTAAAAAATCATAAAAGTATCTCTTGATGAAAAACATTGCTCATTGTTGGGCAATTTTGTTGCCCAGTTTACACAAACGCCATACATTTTTCAAAAAGCTTTATCATAAATGTTTTGTATATGTGTATGACTGCCTCATATGGAGCATTTCACTAGTACCAGTTTACCTTATACTGATACTGTATTTTTAAGAATGAAATCCTTTTGTAATTTGTTTTTGAGTTTAAATTTTAACAAAGCAACACATCTTTCTGTTCTTCATCATTCCTCTCTCCTCTTAGCATACAGAAGACGCTTCAGAGATTCAGGAGCTGACAAAATACAAGCCTCATGTCCTTCTGTCTCAGGAAAACACTCAAATCAAGGACCTGCAGCAGGAGAATAAAGGTTAAAAAAAATATACCAAAATACACTTCATCCTGTTCATTTTTTAGCTATTGTTTTGATATTTTTGCTAAAAATCTTCTCGACTTTCCCTGCAGAACTATGGTTATCTCTTGAAGAACACCAGTACGCACTAGAGTTGATCATGGGTCGTTACCGCAAGCAGATGCTCCAGCTGATGATGGCCAGGAAGGAGCTGGACACCAAACCTGTGCTCAACCTCCACGAGAACCACGCTAAGGTACCCTTGCTGTTTTCGAACGTTCTCATTTGGTTAGGAATCTAAATGGATGGACTAAATCTAAAGTTGTACTAAAACTGGTAAAACAATTAGTTTGTGGTCTGTTGTCCAGGAAGTGCAGAACCAGGTGGAGCGGATTTGCGAGATGGGTCAGGTGATGAGAAAAGCGGTGCAGGTGGACGATCAGCACTACTGCTCTGTTCGAGAGAGGCTCGCTCAACTAGAGGTAAGTGCTTCTGTAAAATCAGGAGCAACTTTAACATGATGTTTGTTGTTGATGTTTTTGAGTGAATCAATATTTTATATGGGGAGGTTTAGCTAGAAATACACACTGATACTGTCTCTGTGTTGCTTACCATGGCAAGGATGTTGCTCTACTTTCCTGGTTGGCTCTGGAGAGTGGTTTCACAATTGTGACCACTTAAGACTTCATTTATTTAATGTCAAGACCCATTTCATTATGTGTGTGTTGTAGTGCTGCTGAAGCGGTAGTTAGTATCTTTCTACTGCATTCCTGCATCCTTGCATATTCTGGGTAACATTGATTGTCAAACTTCATCTTTACAAAGCTCTGCTAAGTGCATTACAAAGATTCGCCCTTTTCAATGCACTTCTCTATATACTTTAACGTTAAATGTTTCCACTTTGTAGCAGGTTTTAGCCAGCTAACATTGTTGCTTCGGAGCAGTAACATTTTCCGTGTTGGCGTAGGTGACTGTGAAGCTAAGCAGCATGTAAAGTCTAGGGCTATAAACTAATCATATTACTTGATTTGATTGTTTGTTTACCTCTCAATAATTCCATCTGGACATTTTCCCATAAATCTGTGGTTATTATGTCTCCTTCAGATTGAGAACAAAGAGCTTCGAGATCTCATGACCTTCAGCAAGAGCTTTGTGAAGACAGCGAAAGAAGAAAACAGCCAGCCAGCACCAGCAGCAGCAGCAGCAGCAGCAGCACCAGCACCAGCACCAGCAGCAGCACCAGCAGCAGCACCAGCAGCAGCAGCAGCAGCAGCAGCAGCAGCAGCAGAAGAAGAAAAGTCCTCTCAACCAGAGTCCGACTAGTGATCAGAGCAGCTTCAGTGTGAACTGTGGGTGGGGCAAGTGCTTCAGGACAAGGAGACAGGGTGGATGATCTATTGACTGTGTTCACTACATTATTTTTTTACATAGGATGGAATGCAGCATATTTTTTGTAGCGGAGTCCACTTAAACACAACATCCTGGCTATCAGGTGCACTTACATGGAGGTACCTGGACAATAGCTATTGGTGTCATATTGTACAGTATGTGTATTATCACTTACAAGTATTCAATTGTGGCTAGCCTAAGATTCACGTTTAGGGGAGTAAAGTCAGTAAAAGGGGATTTATTTAGTTTTTGGCCAAAGATATATTTTTTTCTCAAGGACACGTTTCTACCTCTTTGGTGCCCCTTTGCTGTTCTCACACAATCACTGTGTAAATACTCATAACCAGCCCTCATATGAGTCCACTTGAAGTCCATAAAGAAGCCAACTTGTAGTGTTCACTATTTTAAAAGGCTGTGCTTCAAAATCACTCTGCCAACCAGATGAGTTTTGGCTTTTTCAAACGGTTTGCCTGCTGAGAAGTGAATAATTTGTATGTGATTGTTTATCATTTATTGAATTTAATACGTCTGTTTGTAGAATTCATATATAAGGTGGCCCAGCTGATGGCTCATCATTATTTATGGTAACAATCTTAAAACTTGCCAAGTTTTTGTGTCAGTAATTGTGTATTGTCATCTCAGGAAATCAGTGTTAATAACGTGAACATGCTGTAATGACTTCATGACGGTGTACTGATCTGTGTCAAATGATATTTCATTCAGAAAATAAAATATATTGTATTTGTGATTTTGTTGTTGTTGCCATAACATAGAAATGACTGTGAATTATCTTTCTATTCTTTACCGCAAGGTGGCGACATCCAGCCGCTTTAGTTTTAAAGTCATCGCGAGGTTTGCAAGATGGTGTAATGGTGCGTTCACGTACATACATAAACGAACTTTAGCCTTTTAAAGGGTTTTTTTTCCCCCTCATATATTTCATCAAAAAAATCAAGCCGGTGAATAACATTTTAATTTCCCACTTTGACAGATAAGGCCAAACAATGCATGCATTTAATTACGTTTTCCCTCCGTTAAAATAATAGGAAAACCCATATTTCCAATAGCACTTGAATGTATCACCAGAGCTGCATTGACACTTGAAAGGAGCTAGCTACTGTGCAGCATGTCTGAGAAGGAGCTGGCGAAAAAGTGGGACCGATGCCTGGCTGACGGTGCCATTAAACTCGGTAAATATCTCAGAGTATTCACCTTTTAACTACACTGTATGTCCCGGATTTAAGACCAAATAAGCTACAGTTATTACTGTAGTCCACTACTGTCATTGACTGGGCGAAAGGCTAACTACTAGCTACTAGTAGAGGGCTTGTAAAGGACACCCGAGTGACCATATCGATTTATTTATTTTATAGACACAATTAGACTTAATTATTTAGTTTCATTAGAGTTTACCATACGGTTAGTCGTGATTTCTTTGGTTTCACTTAGATGTTGTTAGAAAGAAGTAGGAGCGCCATTCAGAAAATGATAACTAGATGCTTTCTTGTGCAGTTCATTACGCAATGTTAATCTAACGTTAAACAATTGCGTTTTTACGATGTAACAGTTCCCATTCCTGAATTCGGCATACTTATAAAACATGTATTGTAATACCATGTAAACTTTGTAAATTTTTTTAGGTAATAGCTCCCTTTAGAAATTGCGTCAGGGAGTGGGATGACATATAACAGATACATGAACGGAGTTTTGTTTGACGTATTTGACACAGCATCATAGAGTGAGGTACTGAACGGTGTAGTCTTCGACCTATGTCTTCGACACAGTGAGAGTAAACGTCACCCAACATTGACTAGTTTCAGACACACATATGGGGAAAATACTCTGACGTCACTTCCCGCCATCCTACTGTCAGAATGAGATTTACATTTTATCCACATAGGCTATTTTTAAAAAGGTATTGCGTTACAAAGCAACAAAGCTTTTGTTATGGCTACATGAAAAATATAGAATACATTATGTAAATGTCCATAAGTCCGAGTCAGAATGAGTCAGCATGCACGCAATAGATAAATAAAGATGCGTTTTAATTGAACAGCCAAAGTTACATTGCCTTCCTTCCATGTCATAACTGTTTCCCCCCTCCTTTTCAGGCACTGGTCTGGGGTTAGGAATCGTTTTTTCTGTTCTCTTCTTTAAACGTAAGTATTTCAAAAATAATTGTTGCTGTATCTTGAAGCTTTAATTAAGCTCAAAAGACTAAAATTCCACCTATTTTGCTTGCACCTGGCCATCAAACAAAAAAACATGGGTGTTTTAAACCTGACTAACAAATATTGTAAAGGGATTCAGCTAATTAAAACTAATGCACCAGCACTTACTGTGGGTTGGCATATTTCAAGTAAATGTACCTATATGTTTGTATCTTCATGGTTTATTACACTTAAATGAACGCTAAATTAAAAAGGTAATAATCTATAGTATGTTTTTTTATACCACTGTGCTTGGGAAGGGATAAAGTATCGGTTTCTTTTGTAGGGCACACCTGGCCCATTTCATTTGGCTCAGGAACAGGACTCGGCATGGCATATGCCAACTGTCAGAATGACCTGAGGTCATTTTATATGCTGCACAGCAGCGAAAAGGTTTGTTTGGTCTAAAAATACACATCTTTCCTTAACTCTACTATCATTACACTGTGTCATTGTTTATGCCAATCAAGGCTTATGTGGCTGTTTTCTGTTTTCTTTAACAGGAGCAGTAGCTGTATGTCGTCGATGGATTTTTTTTTGTTTGGACCTTATTGTTTTGTTTGAGTCACCATTTGCACTGTTCTACACTAAGATCCTTGTCTTTCTGTTGAACGATCCGTCACAGTATGTATGATGTGTATGTGCCTGATCAGGACAGTCTGAGTATGTTTAATAAAATAATAATAACCACAAAAAGGATGCCCTGCTGATTCATGTTTTTCTCCGATGGTTGATTTTGGGTGAAACCCATTTTAAAATCCCATTCAACTAAGTAAAAAAAAAAAACATAGTAACATAATGTACTATAACAAGATTGTATACACATTAAATGCAGCTTTGAAAATATGTGTTTTCCGTTTTATTTCCGAATGCTAGTGGGAGTATTTTCGGAGAAAGGTTTGTGGAGGAAGGTGGGGAAAGCGATGCAAACGCTGTCCCAGAAGGTGGTGGGTGAGATGGGGTCAGAAGGTTGGCAGCAGTCGCTCTGATGTGACAGATGACAGGGGCGAAGCAACGGAGGAAATTAGTCAGTTCTGAGGGGGCACGGAAATTGGAGAGCTTTGTATTTTATGTTTTAGTATGTGACACGGCTATTGAAAGGCTGATGCGCACATGGTTTTACCCAATCAATTGCTTTTATTTTATGATCATTTCTATTCATGTGCTCCTGCTGGGAATTGAATCATTATTTGGATTGAGAATGATGTAGGAACAAGGTGAAGTGTCTGTTGTTTTCTGAGTTGTTAGAACACAGGAGTGTGAATTTGTTAACCAACGGTAATTTTGAGTCACTGAAAAATATTTCATGAACAGTTGATAAACGGGCACCTGGCCACAGTGAACGCAAAAAGACGAAACAATGGAAACAAAGCTTGACATAATCTTGCAAATTAAGTGCAATTATAATATGCAAAATAATTGATTGCATAAGTATTTGACATTGGCAAGGACGGTAGTGCTAAAAAGCCTAATTGTGATTCAATCTTGTGAATTATTAAAATGAGACACTACATGTAAAAACATCTGACTTATAGAAAATGTTATTCCTAAAAACATGGCAAACTTGACAGTATTTTCTGATTCATCAATTGATCCAAAAAGTCATTAAAACAATCTTAGAATGTTATATGTGAACAAAGTGAATCAATGTTGAACCTGGCTGCATTCTATTTTCACATGTCTGGCCCGGTAATGTATGCAAATTGGCACATTTTAAGGTAAAGCCTCATTTTCATATTTAATCATAACATTTCAGAAAACTTCCAATACTCAGAGTAATTGTCTTAATAATCAATTTGGGAAGTTTAGTGGGGATATCTATTAGTTAAAATATGTGTTCAAATGGAGTAGTCTACACTTAATATGTCTATAAATTGTATCAATTAAAACAAAAGCAGTAAGAATGTAACATTTCAGAGAAATTCTACCTTTGTAGAAATAAGCCATCAGTAAAGCCTGACAAAGATGTCATGTTAGTTGTACCTTAGAAGACAAAAACACCATTACCAAACATGGAAAAAAGACCCACTACACACCAATTCCTATGCTTAATAATGATCATGTCTTGGCTGTGATGTGCATGGTTATGCATTAACAGCTTCATGCTTTGACACGCTCCTTCTCAAAAGCTGTGCGCTCAGGCTGGCAGGCGCGCTGGAGTGGCCGACACAGGGATTATCTGGAGCGAGGAATATAAAGGAAGCGGTACAAGGACTATGATACCTGTAGAGCACTTATGAACAGAGCCTGGCTGGCAAATGACCGCTGCACAGTTTTGTCTCTGTTCCCGCTCCCACCAGGCTGTTTCCAAGAATAAAAGGACTTGTGAAAGGCAGCAGAGCTCCGGCTTAGCGAAGGTCTTGCGGAGGCTTTACAATCCCACTTCTATAGGCGAGGATGTCATTCTGAGAATTGGTCCTTGCTCTTTTCGTCTTCAATAATTCCTCTCACCGGCACAGCTCTCTTATGCCTTATCTCTCTGTGTGCCCTCCTCCAATGCCTGTCATCAGTGTGACATGCTGCTTCGAAACCCTCTGTAAGCCATCGAATGGCTCATTCTGCCTCTTAGCTGTGGATGAGGCAGGGACATGCTGGCCAGGATGGAGAGATAAGTGAAACTGTGATACTAGTGGCAGTGGAAGTAAGCCCACGGCCCCTGGATGTATTCCTGGCAAACAGAGATGGAGATATTTACCAATGGACAAGGAAATGGTTTGACGGCATCTCAACACAAAACCTCAATGGCTTCTCTTTCTTCAAGAATGTACCTTTTGACGCAAAGGAAAACTGGTTAAGGTTCGTGGCATATAGTGGCACCTGAAAGGGAACTTCCAGGAGTTAGTTCATTGCCAACCCTTACCATGGCTGACTCTCACTACAACAGCAGCGTTACCACCACCAGTGCTTGGAACATCACCGGCAGCGGCCCCTGGTTGTTGGCCTTCATGCTGACCGTCATCATCCTCATGACCATCTGCGGTAACATTTTGCTGATCGCAGTGGTGTTCGCCCATCGCTCTTTGCGTTGCACCTCGAACTGCTTCCTTGTTTCTCTGTTCCTGTCCGACCTCATGGTGGCACTGGTGGTCATGCCCCCCGCCATGCTGAACGTCCTGTGCGGTTCCTGGGTGCTCTGGCCTGCCTTTTGCCCGATTTGGCTCTGCTTTGACGTCATGTGCTGCAGCGCATCCATCCTCAACCTTTGCGTGATCAGCCTGGATCGCTACATCTTCATCATCTCGCCACTGCGCTACAAGCAGAGGATGACCCCACCTCGGGCCTTGCTCTTAGTAGGAGCTGCATGGGGGTTGGCGGCGTTGGCCTCCTTCCTGCCCATTGAGATGAAATGGCACAGCTTGGGCCATGGGAGCGGACACTTGCCAGCTCCTGGGGTCAGCGGTAGTAACATGAGTTCTTACTCTGACACCTTGTACCCTTCATCCTACTTTCAACCGTCACCGTCTGGAGGCCTTTCCTTCCAGTGCCGCCTGCAGGTCACCCTGCCCTTTGCCTTTGTGGGGTCTGTACTCACCTTCTTTTTGCCCTCCAGTGCCATTTGCTTCACTTACTGTCGGATCCTTCTAGCAGCACGGAGGCAGGCAAAGAGGGTTGCCGCATTGAGCCACCCGCCGCATCCGCATCCTTCTCTAGGGGAACCTTTCAGGCCTCATTCCCCTGGGGTTGATGGAGGGAACGCTCAGCAAGACGGGGATGACTGCAGTCACCAGGAACCTCCAGTGTCACAAAATGTACCGGTAAGAAAAACGAGATACCAAACAGTTAAACAAACCAGCCAGGGCAGTGATTAGTGTGTGACCAGAACAATGAATACAATCCTCAACACTCTCTGAGAAAACTTAAGTACCTGTTGATCATCATCGCCTTCCAGATTACTGCCTCCTGCTTCATCAAAAGAACATGACAAACAATAGTAGACTGGCCTTTAAGCAGTCCGTGATGAGAGTAGGAGATGAAAAGGTGTATTCTGTGAGGAGCAGATGGCACAAAGATAATAGGCAAATTTCGGTTCTCCAACTCTTCTCAATCTTGTCTTTTCCTTGACATTTAAGGTTTGACATAATATCCATGCCATTTCTTTAAAATGCCAATTATACTGATGAAATCCACTGCTTGGTTCAATATCATCTAAGTGCAGCAATTATAAACCTGGAAATGTTATGATTATGCATGCTTCAAATGTGGAAGAAAACACTTCAGGGACGCTCTTTGAAAGCTGTTCTTTGCCAGCCCTTTGCCTTTTACTCTCTTCGAGACCTAAATTATTAGTGTAGACGCACTTGACTTTCCAGATGTGCTTGATTTAAAAATGACCTGGGAATCATTTGAAAGTATATCTGAAATTAAGAATGACTTGGCCAAAACCTTTTGTGTGTTTCGTACAAACTACATTGTGTTTAACATGGTTGAGGTTAACTGTCAATACAAAGAAGCTATTTAGTAATAAATGAGTCAATTGAAATGGCAAATATCCTAACCTATTCATCTTTGTCAGGCTGTAAAAAGTATCAGAAGAGATACGTTCAACGTAAGTCAATGTCGAAGAGATAAAAAAGGCTTTTTTTCTCTTCCTTTATTAAAAGGATGAAAATAAATCCGGTGAAAGGGAAGTGGTGTCAAACCGGTGCCAAAGTCTTGGAAAGAAAAGTACAGACGGTGTGTCAGATGTGCTGCCCCCGTCTGCAAGGATCACAGCCACACAGTCTGTCACATTTGCCTGCATACAAAACATACACACACACACATACAAGTTCTCATATCCTCAGATTCATTTTGACACCTTGACTTTTAGCATCCGGATTTTTCCCAATCAAATCATTCTTTCGTTCATTAAAAATATTCTGTATCAGGCTTTACAAATCTTCATTAAAGACGGGTTTTCAAAGCTTTTGTAGTGCACCATTCCATCAATAGGACATTTATATTCTAGACATGTCGTGCATTATGTTATAGGCTACATGTTTCCCCAAAGATTAGGCCTGACATATTTGGTATCTTTTGGTATTTCCAATGTCCACTCAAACTTTAAATGGGCCCTAGTGTGCTTTTTGTGGTTTTCCCTTTCCTGTAGTGTTATATAGGTTTGTGTCAATGTAATTAGTCTGCAAAGGCTAAAATCCCAAAGTTCACACCAGAGGGAGTTTCTCACCCACACACTCCCCCCTGCCTGAAACACCTCGAAAGGACTCCTTTGTTTACTTATAAAACTTCTATAGGCTAGCCCACCAAATCATTGTACGTGAAAGGCTAAGGGGCATCTTTAAGCGTTTGACCAATCCCGACAGAGCCAGACAGGGCTCTCCTTTCTGACGAACTGCTAAATGTAACTCTAACTTGAGCAGAAGCCTCTTGCTTCCTTCCGCACAGTGATACGGTTGGAGGGTGTAGTTTGGTAGAAAAGCAAATCGTTCTTACATCAAACTGCTCACAAAAAGCACTGCGAATTAACTTCAGTAACTGGGTCAGGATTTCTGGAAAGTGGCATTACTGTTTAGTTTTCAATAGAATATTTTTTCTACAACATAACAAGCCGAGTGCCATCTAGTTCCATTATATAAGAGAGAAGACAGACATGTCTACTACGGGTATTTTCAACACTCCACTGCTTAAACAAAACAATCCAGATCGATAAGTATCACTATAGGTAAGAGGAAAAACATGTTTTTTGGATTTTCTGTCCACAGCCATCAGTGAACAGCGAGCGGCGTCTGGCCCACAGGCAGGGTCGGAGGGCACTGAAGGCGAGTCTGACACTGGGAGTTCTTCTTGGACTCTTCTTCAGCGCTTGGCTTCCATTTTTCATCACCAACATGGCACAGGTCAGTCGA